GAATTTTTCGAACGTTTAATAAAACATTAAAAAAATATATTTTAATATTTCATGGAAGGTCAGTCTAGATTTTTTTTAGAGGCTTGATGACTAATTATGAAAAAAAGAAGATGTGGTATGATTGCCAATGAGACATCTCTCCACCAGAGACCAAATGCCATAGAAGTTAAGAACTATAGGCCATCGTACGGCTTCAACAATGAGCAAAACCCATACTGCTAAGTCAGCTATGAAAAAAAAACGATATGACATGTAAAACAATTCAAACGAGAAATCTAACGACCTGATTTATGTACAACAAAATGAACGAAAAACAAATGTATTATACAGCAACAAACTACTGAATTAGCAGTTCAGTGTTTCTGTTGTTCCGTTGTTTTACTCTCATAGTTGATGTGTTCCCTCGGTTTTGTTTTGTGACCCGGATTTGTTTCAATTAAATCGATTTATGACTATTGAACAGGGTATACTACAGTTGCCTTTATTTACAGGCTCCTGACTAGGGATAGGCACATACAGAATAGAGCCAAACCCTCCCCTAACCTGGGACAGTGGTTTAACAATTCAACATGAGAACAAACTATAAAAATCAGTTCAATAGATCTTAACTACTCAGATCGATACAAAGCAGAAAAACATCTAACAAAAACAACAGACCGGACGTAGCAGGGTATTTATACATACCCACAACAAAAAAGACGCTAAGTACTGATCTGAGAGTACGCGCAATTACTGACAGCTAGTTCAAATCCAACAACTAAAAAAATCATAAATCTGAGACTGAAATGTCAATCAGTACACATCCTACATCTAATGGATTTAATATAAAGACGAGAAAAACATGACCTTGGGCAATGTCAAGATACAGGTATCGACAGATTGTAGAACCATGCATGAATGTGCATATATATATATAAATAAAAACAAAATCAACATTTATACCAATAGTAAAGACAATATTCAAAGATCTAATTACAATGTTGAATTGGTAATCTCTTAAAATGTGTTTATTTATAGGATCGATAAGTTAACCCAGGGTCGTATCTAAATTTCCGGTCTCGGTAAACATCTCCGTAAAAATTAGGATATTGTATCCCATTTGAAATAAGTTTTCTACAGGTACAACCATATTTCCAAATCAAATCTTTGTGTATATGGAAGAATTTAGTAAAGGTTTTAAGTAACTTGGGGTAAGATAACGGTCGGTGTCACTGAATTAATCATTTAAATGCAATTCAGACGGATCTTTAATGAGTTTGGTCATAACAGTACAAGAACAAGTCTGCTATTAAAGGGACACAATTGGTGCCCATAAAAAATATCTACAACATTTCGATAAGCTTTATTGCCGTAACATACATAAATGATTTCAAGGAGAAAATTAACAGCTTCAATCATCTTATCACACCTGTAGTAAGTATATCTAGCATATTTGTATTTCCTCATTAGAGAAGAAGGCTTTAAATGAGTTGCAGTAAATTTATCAGCAATCAGATTTATCAAATGACCATTTAATTAAATCGGAAAACTTTTTTTTGATAAAATTGTGTGGAGGTATAGTGTAAAGGGTTGAACATTCAAAACTCTCAACAGAATCAAAAGGACCATCAAAAGTACGTTATTTATCTAAAACATCCAAAGAATTTTTACGCTCCAAAATAGTTAATTCCATTATCTTCATCTGTTATATTACAAATGTTAATGTTCTTTGATTTTAGGAACTAGCCAAAAGCACTGAAATATTAGTTGTAGAACACTTACTAGATGCCGAGTTAAAACGAGATTATTCTGGTTTTTGTGTACTTTAGGTAAACCAATGTTAGGGACTTTAAATGTTCAGAGGAGGCATTAAGCTGCGATGTGGTTTTGACTTACATGAAATGAGTGAACGAAAACAAAAATATAAATTCAAATACGAAATGCACTTTTAGATAACATTTTTTTGAAGCACAAACCTTTTATCTATTTTTTATTCAAACACACCTTCTCTGAATTTATGACTCATTTCAGAGATATTTCAATAGATTCATATATTTCATTTTTTGGTACTGTAATTTCTCAAATTTATAATATCAACACGTGGACTTTTCATATAAAAATAATCGAATCTGAAGCGAGATTTATCTAAAATATTTGTTTTATAAGCTTTCGAGACAAAACAGTCAACAGAAAAGCACCTGAACGTAAAAAGGTGTACTCGACTTTCTCTTTGTCATAAGATAATAAATTGCCAATTTTTAGGATTGTTTCCCAAAATACTGTTGCCGGAGATGTAAATTAACGCTTTTCAAAGATCTACATTTTATTTTTTCGTGGATTTTTTTCGTGAAATTTATGCAAATGTATTAGATTTTAAGGATCAGAAGTATTTGCATCTTTAAGTTTATAAATATCTAGTTGCTTCATACATGTCATACTATAATTCGAGTATAAACACGTATAATAGATGCTAAAAATCTTATATTATATACATGTACTTGCATTTAACTTTAAAAGGCTATATAAACAATCCAAATAAACGAACTGAGTTCATATCTGTCATACTTGTTTTTCGAAAATTGTTTTGTTATAATTTAGGCCAGTAGATTTTTCTTAATTTTATCTTTATTCGTGTTGATTTGTTAATTTCGTTATTTTTCTCACTCGATTCGCTATAAATCGTTCAAACCGTTTTGGTGATACCAACCAGTCCAATACTATATATGCCTCTATCCAACCAGAAATCAACGTGTTTTCATTCATGAGTTTATCTACCTGTTTAAAACAATCAAAATGAATTGTGTAACTTCAAAACTGACTACGTGTCTTATTATAGAAAGAACAAAGGATATGGGGTATCCATCCCTGACACAAAATCAATACACGCACAGCAAAACATACACAAAAAACTAAGGAACAGCACTTGTATTGCTGTTCTTCATCTCAACGTCACAGAGAGGCCTTCAACACGGAAGAAAATAAATCTCTCATCTCACTACAAGTTCAAGATATACCTAGCACCGGTTTGAGCGGAATTCATTGCAAAATGATTCGGATAAACTTTGTAAGATGTATCACCACCAAATCGGGCCCGGTCAAAAAAGAACATACTGGAAAGTAGTAGTTCGAATATATCTTACAGCCAATTTACCAAACATCTGAGAAAAGGGGGAATATTGACGACACATGAGATTGATACCGCGGTGCTTATGTAGATGTTTGATTGCCAAGAATCTTATATTCATTGGAAGTCAAAATAAGAACACAATGAGAATACCAGGAATAAGAGAACTAAGACACTTTCTAGATGACGATGGTCTTGTGAGATGGAATCCAAAATGCACCGATGTCAACGACTACGTAATTTCCGTTTCTTATACCTGCGAATCACCCGCTTACCGAAATGATTGTGATAGATTTATCTAAACACATTCCATGATAGAAAGGTTTAATTTCTTTTACTATCTGTTCTTAGGTGAGATACATAAAATAATGAGAAGGTAAACAATTTTCAAATAGATTATCCCTTTGATTTTTGTTAATTTTACATTTATGGAGGGAATGTTTTTCATCCTCCAGCATGAGGCACAATTTACATATTCTATCCTTTCTAGGAATTTTATATAAGCGACCTTTTTCTAAATCATGGTCACTAATTCTCAAATTAGTGAAGCATGTTCTTATAGCAAAGTCATTGGAAGCTAAATTAAATTCTCTATCCAAGCGAAGTTTTAAATTTTTATAAAGTAACAGTTTCCTATCTATTTTCATCACAGCTATTCATTCTATTTTCAAAAATATTTTTTTATTTTTCTTTTAATTCATTTTTAATCAAGGTCTTTAAAGACTTTACTTTATTCAAGTCCCTACAATTGTTAACTTTATCGAAAAGGTCTGAGTTTTGTGAAATATTCTTGGCATATATATACCAAGAATAAGTACCATGCGAATCCACCAGTTTTGACATAATAAATGCTTCTTTAAATAAATGATCTATATTTTCAAAATTCAGTCTTGCTAATTCCGATAGAAACTGTGAAAAAATTAAATTTTCAGGGGATATTCTTGTTAGTGCTGCTCGGACTGCTATATTTGAAGCTATTGGTCTGATGCCCAGAAAAAAATACAAAATATAATGTGAACCTTTTCACATGGAGTATTATCATTAAACGAAATTTGATCGACGTTTTTTTTTAAATTTCGATCGGCTCTTATCTTAGCTCTGTATCGTGTTAAAAAGCTATCCATAGAGGATATCTCTGAGTTATAAGTTAAAACTGGTTGTTCTTATTTATTAAAAAGATTACTAGAAATTTCTATTGAAGATTTCCCAATGAAGGTACCTTGGCTTTAACCGAAAACATGATTTGTCTTGCTTTTTTCGCTAGTTCTTCCAACCTTTAATAGTAACAACCAATTAACTATCCATAAGCCTGAGTTCAATGACACATTTTTATGAGTTTTCTCATGAAAATAATAAGTGACCTAGCTAACCTTTTTGATCAAAATATATAAAATTACATGCCAGCCACAAAACCAGGTTCAACCCACCATTTGTTACTTAAAATGTCCTATACCAAGTCAGGAAAATGGCCATTGTTATATTATAGTTCGTTTCTGTGTGTGTTACATTTTAATGTTGTGTTTCTGTTGTGTCTTATATATTGATGTGTTTCCCTCAGTTTTAGTTTGTAACCCGGATTTGTTTTTTTTCTCTCACTCGATTTATAAATTTCGACCATCGGTATACTACTGTTGCCTTTATTTAAACCTTTTTATCAAAAGTAAAATAACAAAAATACCGAACTCCATAGAAAATTCCAAATGGCAAAAACAAAAGCCTAAACACATTAAACGAACAGAAAAAAGCTGTCATATTCGTGACTTGATACAGACATTTATTTATATACAAAATGGTTGATTAAACCTCGTTTTATAGCTAGCTAAATCTCTCACTTGTATTACAGTCGCATAGCATTCCATTATATTGACAACAATGTGTGAGCAAAAAAAAACAGCAGTTAACATTGTGTTATAATCTTTAATCACTATGAAAACAAACAACTATATCAACAAGAAAAAAACCAAAGAAAAACAAATGGGCATATAGACACTTCAAAGACACAGCACATAAGCAAATAGGAAAGACAAAAATACAAAAAAAAAATGACAATTGCACAATTACACAATGGCGAGATGTATAAATACCGAGCCACGCCAAAAGGATATTACAAATAAATGGACTATAAGGTAAAGATAAAAAATATACAAAGACAAATAAAAAGAACATTATAACACGTTATTAAGATGATAACCAACTTCAGTACCTAGAATCTATACCATCATGTATTATTTTTGAAGTTGATACGGAATAGTTATCAACAAGGTCTTGGTATCGTCCGATGAACTCTTCTAGAAAAAGGACGAGACGTTCTTTTACATAACCCTGATTCATCAACTTTCTGCTCAGAAATTTCATTTTTGCTCATTCGAATTTATTTTCTAGTATTATAATTATTTCAAAATTGAAACAAATTCTATTAGAACTTAATTATTGAACGTATAACGTGTATATCATGCTGAAACATATAGACAAATCTTCTCTTAGGCTGCACGACAGCTCCGTACAGAACCTTTCTAGTTAGAAAAAGCGATAACAGCTATAATTTTAAGATGGAATACTTGTAGATTCTTACAGATGAAACTTTCATTCGAATGCATGGAAATTGAGAAGATTGTTTGTTGGGTAGACAAATCCTACATCAATTTGTAAGATAATCTTCTTAGCCATCTGGTAATTTCTTTGGTAATATGAAGCAATTATAAATTTCGCTTAAAAAGTGATAAAATTGCTTATTTATCTCTCGTTCAGGAGCTGTGTTTCCGATATTCCTAGATAATTCAACGACCGATATAATGAGCTGTCTTATGTTTTCTACTTCTTCTAAACGAAAAAATGATTCAATGTCATTTGTATCAGCGTTCAACGAAACATGGTTCATATTTTCTTCTTTTTCTGGTATTGTTTTTTGCGGCTGTTTAGGGCTGACAACTGTTTCTTCTCCGTTATTACATACATCGATCATTTTTTTCATGTATGCGTTTTTACCAATACGTTCTACAGCTGAACCATTATTATATACTGTTTGATCTAAAAAATGCATATCAATGACATAAATCACATTTGCAAAAAGAAGTAAAATCAGCATGATTATGTTATCGTTGAATTCTTTAAAAATCTTCTCGCAATTGTATTTAATTTAAGTATTTTGTATGATAATAAAAGGGTTTCCAGTATGTAGATGTTCAATTATGTATGAAGCAATGTACATTCTTACGTCTATTCATGATCATTCGAACCATTCGAACAATAGAACCCTTTTTAATTAGATATTTTTCTAGTTGAACCATTCTTCGACAAATAAACGTTAACATATGATCCAATTAACTAAAAGATTTGATCAATTCAGAACATCTGTATTTTTGTCGAAAAGTATAAACTTCAGTAATGAAAAATTATCCCTCCTTCGCATTAAGGAAACGGAAAATTAAGTAAGACCGGAAACGTCGGTATACCATGAATTGACGGTACACATCGTCAACCTAACTGGTTTCTGAAAATAATTTCACAATGCATATATATGACTCAAATGAATGTGCATATAAATAAGAAGATGTGGTATGAGTACCAATGAGACAACTCTCCATCTAAGTCACAATGTATAAAACGTTCACAATTATAGATCAAAGTACGGCCTTCAACACGGAGCATTGGCTCACACCGAACAACAAGCTATAAAGGACCCAACAATTACTAGTGTAAAACAATTCAAACAGGAAAACCAACGGTCTAATCTATATAAAAACGAGTAACGAGAAACACATAAGAACCACACCAACAAACGACAACCACTGAATAACAGGCTCCTGACTTAGGACAGGTGCATAAAAATGCAGCGGGTTTAAACGTTTTAACAGGCGCCAACCTTCACCCTAAACTGAGACATTAGTGTAACAAAACAACCTAAAAAGACACACTATAAAATATCAATTGAAATGCATATTACTTTCTAAAAGCGTGTCTCTATGCTATAAAAAATGCTGTAATATATTAATAATAACTTACCTGAATATTTCCATTTACATTTTTTAACAGTTCGTCTTCTTCCCACAATATAATACGCAATGGCTATTATACCTAAGATTAAGATGGCACACAAAATATTAGTGCTTTTTTAAAAAGTTAACTTAATAATAGATTATAAAACATAGAGGCAAATAGTGATACGACAAAAAGTGCGACAGAGCAAGGAACATGCTCTTAAAAACGAAAGACGAGGATAATCTATTCTGAGGGTCAGGCATTAGGGACTGTGAAGGGAAAATAAAACATCAATAAAAGCAAAATCATTAACGGTACCAAATTTACTGCAACAATTACACATTACGACAATGAATGTTTCTGCAGTGGTGATAGAGACCAAAATATTTTAAAACCTTATACAAATGTTGACTAGTTAATGAAACAAAAAGGGACAAAAGTAAAGAAAAACAAGGAATCATAGGTTTATATGAAGGAGATACAATAGCAGTAAATGTGTTCGAATATCACAAATCGATGACAAATAAAGATAACAACCAAAAACTGCGAGAATTGCATAAACTCCAAAATGAGCAAAATCAGGTATGTCGACAGGGTAAGCGCTTCATAATTAAAGAGAGACAAAAGATACTAAAGAGAATTCAAATTTAAAGTAAAAAATAAACTGACAATGACGTGGCAAAAAAGGGAAAAGACCAAAAGACAAACATCAGCACATAATACACAACATAGAAAACTAAAGGGTTTGTATGTATGCATCACCCGACTTGCATTTCCATACCAAATAGTTTATATCAAAAAATTATTCCTTAGACCAAGGAAACCTCCTTGATAAGACAGATATGCGATACCATTATTTTTTTAAATATTTTTACTCTTTCTTAGGAATTAAATTGTCTTAGGTAGAAGGTCATTGATATCCTCGATACCGTGTTTCGATGGTGACAAAACATTTCAAAGTTGTATACTTTATAGAAATAAGAAGATGTGGTATGAGTGCCAATGAGACAACTCTCCATCCAAGTCACAATGTGTAAAAAGTAAACAATTATAGGTCAAAGTACAGCCTTCAACACGGAGCTTTGCGAGTATTGTACTTCTTATTGCACGTACTAGACCCTTCCCATCTAAATTGTGTAATACGATTGTTCAACAAATTTCATATAGTAAATATGCATCTCATTGTTTTACATCGGTCATCATTGATTAAAAGCATCAGTGAACAGAGCTATTCGTATCGTATTTCGTATATAATGTTTATCAAACATATGGATAGAGCGAATCCTGTATGATGCAGATTACGCAAAGTACACGCATAATATTACATGTATCAATTTGTACTACCAGCGCTTATCAAAAAGTGTATCCGACGCAATCCTATAGCAACGTATTCAGCGATTGGGTCTCGAATACCCTTTATTTAATTCAATTCGAAGTATTATCTGCAGTATATAATTATAACCACGCTGTCCGGCCTTCCAATCGTATTTCCGTCAGTTTAGAGCTTTCAGAAGTTGTGTTTTAAACTTCATGTGAGCATGATACACCGTTTGATCACGTTCACCTCTAATAAACTTCCTGTGCATCGAATACTTATTGCAGAGGTATCATTTGTGAGCATTAGCTCACAATAACACTTGTTTCGTCTCCTTTCATAATTCTTTAAAACACTCACGCCAAAAGAATTTTATCTCGTTTTAACAAATAGAATCTTCCCCATATCATAGGCAAAGAATCAGAACTAACTTTTGTTAAGTTATAATTACAAGATGGTTTGTATGAATTTAAAGCAATGAAAGATAATACATTACCAATGAACATGATAAGGAACAAAGTGGTATAAACTATGTGCTGTGTGCAGTGAGGATCTGAAAAAAAGAAATATAAAAAAAAGGTTTGAATTTTTCAAACATTTTATTACATGTTCAATATTAATAATAATGAAAATAATAATAATAATAATAATAATAATAGTAATAATAATAATAATAATAATAATAGTGATAATGATGATGTTGATCATGATCATTATAATAATAATAATAATAATAATAATAATAATAATAATAATAATAATCTGTTACTTATAGACACAATCTGCTGGTTATTAAGTTAGCCGTTTGGAGCAACATAAGTTAATGATAAGGTTTTGGTCATATGATCTTCAAAGAACAAGATGATATGTCACAAATTTTAAAGTTGTGCCTAAAGCTCTTACTCCAATTTCAGTTTCAATGAGGAATTAACACGTCAAACATATTTGGTTCGCTAAATAACAACAGTCTGGTCAGTAGTTAACTAGCAAATTATTTGTGTAAAAGACATTTGCCTGTAAATGCACTGCTTAACCGAACATTTATTTATAAGGCATAGAACTGAAGGACAGTAATCGTAAATGGTACCTGCATGAGAGTAAGCATAACTCAACATCTTACTATCTGCTCTATTGTCTGTACTACAGTGTTTAGATTCCTTTATTCTATTCTTTTCTTCGTCTGCACCCCTAAAAGAATTGATATAAACAGAATTTGCAAAAAAACAACCTATTCGTTAAATAAATTTACGTCGAGGACATATATTTACGGTCTTTATTAAATATGTCGACAACTAAAAATGTAGGGTTAACATACATTAGAACCTTGATAACATGTAAAGTGTGGTTTTGAGAACTACATCGGACATTAGAACAAAAGACATGGTTATGCATTTGCAAGTAATAACGAATGTCAACCTGTACATGCATTTTTTTTACTTTCGATCAAGTAATTCTGTAATAGAATGCTAATGAAAATAGCCCAAACCAGCTTAACATAAAACTTGTTTAAATAAACAGCAAACAAAATAGCTAATAGTTCTTGTTACAAGCAAATATCATCAAGTTTCAATTAAAAAACTTTTACCTTTACTGTGGATTCATTATTATTCGTTGGATACCAATTTTCGTGGGTTTCGTGGGTTCAGATGAACCACGAATTCAAATGTTCAACGAATTAAAAATGTTAATTTGGCTTTGTATACAAGATTGGCAAAACCACGAAATCAAATATCCACGTAAATGTAAGTGTTCCTCAATCCACGAAAATTGATACCCACGAAAATAAATGAATCCACAGTATATTTTAACCATCCAATGTAGAGCTTTCTGTCCTGGAGATAAACATGTCCCCCTTTGAGCCTCGTGTATGCAAATGAACATCTGGTCGAATGCAAAACTCAGCATAAGCGTCTAGTTTTATACAAAACATGGAGATTCTTCCTTTCTAAATAATGTATAAAGCTTATACCAAATTTACAACACATTTCACTGTGCCACTTTAAAAACATCAAGTTGGTGTCGTGTCTAAACACAAGATGTTAACACTAGGGATACTTACTAAACATAATACCAAACTCTTTACTGCTTCCAAAATATAAGTTAAAGATTAAAAAAAAGACAAATAAGGAAAATAAGGAAGACAAACAAAATAGACGAAAACAATCAATAAAAGGGAAGCAGTAAATCTCGTAGATTCATGCTGATGTGTACCTACATGACAAACTTGCTTTTTATGTAACTATACCTAAAACTGAAGCTTAAGGCCTTTACTTTGCACTTCGATTGTATTAAAATGCTGACGATCAATTCTAATTCTTCACAACTTAAAAGGGAAGGGTAACGTGTGAACAGATTTTAGATTTAATTTTTTTTTTCTATTTTCATCCGTAGTAAGTTTTTAACTGTAAAACCCATTTGCAGCACATACGCATTCTTTTGAATATTTTGTAAAAAATAATCAATGGCAGATTGTTTACAAGAACTTCTCAAGAAAAATAGGAAAACTATAGGATTATTATTAGTGAATTGCCTCTCTCTGTGTTATATCTTGATTTATGGTCGACTTAGAACTAAACTTTACAAAAAAATAGATTTTTCAATTGTTCGAATTCTTTTGAATTTTCTTCATTTGTATAGCAACATTCCACCAGCAGCTGCATGCAGACTAAACATAACCCTCTGTAAATAAAGAAGTTACAAGTCCTTCTTCAGTTCATACTTTAGATTGTCACCTTTGTGTCTTATTCAATTTATAAACGAAAAAATCGAGTGCTTGCAAATTATGTTACTATATGATACGTTTCCAATGGCAAAAATTTGTGTCGTAATTTATTCTACTATCTTCTTCATAGGGTTAAATCAGCTCAGAAGTACTTTGGTACATACACATTGTTGCTAACATGCCATTCTTAAATTTTCCGCTGATAAAATTACAAATGTTTTGTAACCTAATGTTCCAATTGCCTCAAGCAAAGTGGAACTAATATATATGGAATTTGATATAGCTCATCAATTATTTAAGAATTTAACATCCATTGCTTTCAATATTTTGTTTTAAGCGTTTCATGTGATGGTAAAACCACAAAAACATCGCTACTGTACAGTGTTATTTTCATAACTTGATACACTGTCATTATTAAAAATAATAATGGCACGATACATGCTCCAACTTTTAAGTTAAATGTGAATGTCTTCAAAATTTTATCAAACCTATAAAAAACTATCTCTGAATAATACATTTATCAGTGTCAGCTAGATGTTAATCTGATGTAAGTCGTTAAAAATATTGATGAATTTGAGACCAAGTATGCGTATAAAAGTCGTTCTAATGGAGAACATCGATTCTAATATTATTTTTTCAGATTTTCTGTTTGAAAGTACAGTTCAGAACTATGTTCATGAAAAATATTCTCCTACTTTGACCGTTTAAAAATTATGGTACTTCCGTTTTTTCTCATTTATAAAATTGCATAGCATAAGAATTACCTTTTCAACATTGTTATACAGTTGAAACTTCTATGTAGGTCGTCTTGCCACACGCATTTGTAGTCTGAAATGTAATTTAAAAAAAGAGATAAGCAAGAATTTCCTAAAACTAGTTTCTCACCTTTGCTTGACACATTTAAAAAATAACTGATATTTAGTCAAATTAAATTTATACCGATGCATTTTTAAACTTCAATATTAAATCAATATTGTGTGATATTTGTGAACATCTTCCCTGTATAAAGGTGGTTTTCACTTTGTCATTTGATATAATATTCAATAAATCCTTATCCTAAAAATGAATATGACGGACAGACCAAGCTATCACAAAGTTATATATGAATAAAACGTTTTGGTTTAAGACGTCCTTTAAAGTACAACTTATATTTTTAAAGTATGTTTTTATAAGATATTGTTAAAAAACAAATTGAAGTTTTCTCTCCTCTTATATCTAAAATTAGCTGTATAATGACATAACTCAATAATATATAGTAGAGAACCAGGGTCTTTTGATATGAGGTCCTTGCTCTATGACCTTGGAATTTAGGTCAAGGTCATTATTTAATTTGACGTTATACTTTTTTTCTCTGAACAAATAGTTTTTAATTTCTAATTAGTTCAGTATCTGTCAGTATTATAATTTGGTGAAAATATAATAAACCCACCGAAATGTTTGATTTGTGATGAGTCATTTTCTATATAATCTGGTTTTACCCCCAGTTCGTTAATCAAGGTCTCCAATAATCAATACTTAACCACTGCTTGTCAATATACAGATTTTTTAGTCAATAGAAATAAAATCATTTTGGTTCTGTGTTGAACCAAGTGAAGCATAAAGACAAGTAATGGTGTCATTCTTTTTCGCATTTTGTTAACGTTTTTGTTGTTTGCAATTTACATTTTATTATATATATTTTATCTTAAATAATATACAAAAACACTGGAATTGGTAACACATTCTGATCATGAGGACAATGATCCTGGTACAATGCAAATTGATTGTTTAAGACAAATTAACACTTAAAAGTAAATCTTGCAATGATGAGTTGGTTACGGTTTCCTCTATTTTCCATTATTTTCAAGATAATAGACTAAACCAATAGACAAATGCTGGATATTGTCTTATGCATGCAAGGAAATCAACTCTTATGTTTCAGTAATGTGATTTTTTAAAAATCATGATTGGCAGAATGTTTTGATTAAATTAACACTTTATAAAGTTCGTTCGTCCGAGGCACTTTTCTTGACTTATTTATCATGAGCGCTAAAACGTAAACATCTATACGAACAAAAGGGACCTAAACAGAATAGCCAAATTTATCGTAATTCAATTTGCTTGTGGGAGTTGGAACCTAAGTCTCCTAATAATCTATTATTTATCAATGAGGAAGTTTAGAAAAATATGTTACAAGTTATGTCAGTACCGAAGTACTGAGCTGATGATTGTTTCTGTCTCTGTCTTTTAAAATTTTCTAATCAATGGATAAACAATTTCTAAATTGTCAAATTCGTCATTAAAGGGGCAGTAACTACGAGATATAAAACAAAATAAAATATGATTTTGTTTTGTTCAATCATTAATGAAAGTGAAATAGTGAAATAATAATTCGCTTTTAGCAGCCAGTTTGGTTCAACTTTTTCAAAATAAGCTAAAAAACGTTGCTAATGAATTATTCACTTGCAAGTGAATAATTCTACATCATTGAATCCGTATTCATGTGACCGTCTATTTAACCCCTTAGCTAGAGATGGGTTACACATGAACTAGGCGTGTTCAGCTATCAAAAGGAAAAGAATGTCAACATTGATGGTGAAACAAGGGTAAACTGTTTTGTTTAACTGATTTGATCGACAAAACTCATTCTTATACAGGTAAAAACGATGATTAACATATATCACCTATAGTATGAAATCAAACAGACCTAGAAAATCCAATTGCACGTGTTATCAATTTATTTATATCTATATTTATGTTTATATCGGGTTATATGACAGTCGGCCGTTTTCGGAGGTCAACTCGATGGTTAATTAGATGGCGTCTAGACTAAAATACACACGAAATGCGGATACATATTATCGATTCCATGCATTGTTAATTGTTCATTTTTGACGTTTTGTAAGTTTGATATACGTTTTAGTAGGTTATAAATCAAATATGAGAATTTGAGTCAAATCGGTGAACATGAATTTGACAGCTAATGCCCCTTTAAAAGACATTAACTTCCAAAGAATATTTTAAAAAAAAATTTGTTTCATATGTAGAAAGTTTCATTCTAATCGTTTTTACCTCGGGAATTTTCTTTATCTATTAGCTTATTCAGTATATTTGACATTTACTTGCATTTACCCCTAATGCATTATTGTTAGTAACGACGGTCATGTTGGTTGATCGACAAGAACAAAACATGACAAACTGGGTTAATTGCGACCAAGTTCGGTTTCGATTTGATTGATGGCTTTTGAGGTGAGGTTTTTGCAAAAATTAGTAGACAGACGACGGACACGAAATGATGAGAAAATCTGCATAATACCCAATACTAACTTCTCTACGGAAGAAAGGTAATTCTATACTAAAGTTAAACAGATATGTTGGAGACCAAAACTTAGCAAACCAAAAATATTTAAAACCGCAGAGGTCAAAACGGAGCCTTCCGAGAATGCTAGTCTTCAAAACACCCTGAGATCAGCATTTGTGACCGGGATTTGCAACGTTAGGTTCCGTACAGTTACATGATTTTACAATTAGGTTATTGTACACTTGAAGTGGTTTATCTGTGACATTATTTAGAAAATGGATGATGAGAGGTCAGATGTTTTGTTTTCTATACTCGCTTTTATACTTACCAGGAGATAATTTCTGAAGATAGGGACAATGTTTCAAAAAGCATGAGCAATCCTCATTCGATGGAATGCAGTTACACTTATTTGAAGGTTCAGAAACAAAAGCATATCCCCGTCTGTAATCACATCGGCATCGTCTGTCGGTCCTTGGTGATCCGTCTTCAACTGTTATTTGTCCTTCTTCATTGCAATTGGATTTTTGGAAGATGCAATTACTTCCGTCGAGATTGAAATGACTAATCGGCTGATATCTTTCAGTGTCACAAGTCTGTCCATCAAAGTTCCCACTCCATACAATTTTGTACCCTACAACATGTAGACCATAAAAGCTACTTATTAATCAGAAAAACTACTCCGTTGGAATGCTTAAATAGAATATAAAGAAGGTCTTTTTTTTAAATGAAAACACAAATATTGTCTCTATCGGTACAAAACTGTGTTTGTTTTTTATAATCAAAACAAAGCCAAAAATGTATTGCTATAAACATGATGATATTCGGAACTTTTTTTAAATCATGTTGTTATTTATATGTGGTCATTGCACAAAGTGACGTATATCTATAACTGTTTATACAGTCTATTCACTTAAAAATCCGAGGATGTGTAAAAGAGGACGAAAGATACCAGAGGGACAGTCAAACTCATAGATCGAAAACAAACTGACAACGCCATGGCCAAAAATAAAAAGACAAACAGACAAATAATAGTACAGATGACACAACATAGAAAACTAAAAACTAAGCAACACGAACCCCACTAAAAACTGGGGGTGATCTCAGGTGCTCGGGAAGGGTAAGCAGATCCTGCTCCACATGTGGCAACCGTCGTGTTGCTTATGTTATTACAAATCCGGTAAATAGTCTAATTCGGTAGGTCACATTCGTGAAAAGGGAAGGGTATTGTAGTTACGACATAAGGAACATATCCGATATCATCTGTGAAACTGTTATTCCATAACGGTCAACCAACTCGTGATGGCGTCCGTAAAATTTACGATGGGATGATTTCAAATTCACCATTTGGATCTCTTTGTTTAATAGCTTCCTTGTGAGCAGCAATCCTCTATCAAGGAAATCATGATAGGAAATACAAGCCCGGGAATATCGTATTAATTGGGAGATATATACTCCGTATGCAGGCGCTGCTGGAATGTTACTACATAGAAATGGAAAGTTCACAATTGGGAAGCTGAAATCATCTCTTTTATCGTAAAGTTTTGTTTTCAACCGACCCTCATTGTCAATTTCTAGATGTAAGTCAAGATATGAGGCAGACTTAACTGTATCTGTAGTATCCTTTATCTCTAGTTCGATGGGATAGATTCGTTCAACATAGTCACCAAATTTTGTATTATTTAGTGAGAGAACATCATCTATATAGCGGAACGTAAAGTTAAAGGATATTGCTAACTTTTTATCTTTCTTCCGAAGAAGTTCCTGTATGAAGTCAGCCTCATAATAATAAAAAAAAACAAGTCGGCAAGAAGAGGGGCACAATTGGTTCCCATTGGAATTCCGACAGTCATTTAAAAAACACGTCCTCCAAACGTAACAAATATGTTGTCAATCAAGCATCTTGATAATGTCAGTTTCAGAGAATTTTTTGTTTGAATCAGAGTTATTCAAGATACTTGTAATGTTTGATTATCTAATCTGGGAAACAAGTTTTCCCTATTTATTGAAATTAGTTTTACAACTAGCTTTCATTAACTGTCAGTACTCTAAGATGTCATCAGTCGTTTTGTTCGTTGGTATGTGCTTTTCCCAAGTCAGGAGCGTGTAATTCAGTTCTTGTTGGTTTTTATCTGCCATATTTGTTTTTGTATATTTCTGAGCATAAATCATGTCGTTGTTTTTAGCTTGATTAGCTTTGAATGCCATCTTTGTATCTTTCTTCTTCTTTTTAGGATAACAACAAAATGTGTCTGATAGGTGAAAAACAATGCATTGAGTTCGCTGGCATGATTTCATTCCTTGCAGCGAAGTACGAAGACCTTATTCAGCAGTTAAAATTAAAATAATGACGTCATGAAAGATATATGACTATAAGAAATTCAAAAACAAAGGCATAATTCATACTTTTGGTCAACCTCTTAACCAAGAAAAAGATTTGTTTACGTGTGTTGACTTTGTCTTATAATTTAAACAGAGTTTGAAAGGGATATATTATCAAAGTCAATGAAAAGGTATCCTCACAGCTTGTAAATGAGTATAAGTTCTAAGTCAGGAATCTGATGTACAGTAGTTGTCGTCTGTTTATGTAGTTCATAACTGCTTCTCGTTTCTCGTTTTTATATAGATTAGACCGTTGGTTTTCCCGTTTGAATAGTTTAACACTAGTAATTGTTGGGGCCCTTTATAGCTTGCTGTTCGGTGTGAGCCAATGCTACGTGTTGAAGGCCGTACCTTGACCTATAATGGTTTACTTTTATAAATTGTTACTTGGATGGAGAGTTGTCTCATTGGCACTTATACCAGATCTTCCTATATCTATGAATTAAAAGGGATGAAGGGTAAAGTTTAAAGAATGGAACCCAACGGCATTCAAAACCAAAAGACAACTAGACGTCAATGTACTGAATTGAAAAAAGTGTTTCAGTATTGTCTGTTGTTTATAATTATTTTCACCAAGCACTAGTCTTTATCTTTCAAGTTGCTATGTTGTTCTTCTTTTAGACTTTACAATATCACTTACCAGGCCGTTGAAATTGTATTTTCTTGGAACACAATTCAATATTCTGAACTTTTATTACGTCCCGTAAGCACATGTATTCTTCTCCGGATATGTTGCAAAAGTTATTTGACCTGTGTTGACGCTGCGATGGTACAGAACACTTTAATTCATAACTTTCTCCGGTCAGGAATAGGATACAAAACTACAAAATGTAAAAAGAAATCGGTTTCCTTTCCAGGTTTGATATGAAAGACGAAATTCAAGTGAATGTTTTTCAAATTACGATTTGCAAAACAATAACAATTTGAATTCACTATTTGTTGGACTTTAGGTACATATTCCAAATGTACACAAAAACATGTTTATTTTGTCTCTTTTCTGCTGGTTAAATTTATTACAACTAATAACTATACTATAAATTATGAATTTTGGAACAATCTTTTACCATTTGACGTTTATAAATTTGGAAGTGACTGGAATCAACACAAAATATAGAAGTTTGGATTGTATTGTTCACATAGCTGGCTGTCAGCTTATCTTTTGTATATTTGTTAAGAAATTTTGCTTTATTTATAGTGTTGGTTTCGCTCTTTCTTGTGTGCCTTAATAACACTAAACAGTTGTGAACATTTATGATCTATCATCCTCTCGATGTTTGTATTTTGGCATTGCATAAAGTCATGCTTTTATCAGACTGTTTATACAGTCTTCACACTTAATCCGTTAAATGTGAACCAGGTTGATATTCTTGGTTGGGAAAACTTGATATGTTTATTAGTAGTCATTGCCTTTGAACCAGCTTTTAGCAATTGCAAGTACTCTTATATCGGTACAGTTTCTGTTTTGTCTGTTCTTTAGTTTTTCGTGCGACAAGTTGATCTGATGAGTCGAAGTTTTGCAACTGATTTTTACGGCTTGTTCTTATTTTGTGCTGTAACACCATTGCTCTAGGTTATTGGGAGGGTTGTCAGTTTGTTTTCGATCTATGAGTTTGACTGTCCCTCTGGTATCTTTCGTCCCTCTTTTTTGAGACGTTACGTACGGTATCCTGTTTAGTAATGGTAACATAACGTGACGTCGTTTTTTTTACTTTTGACCGACTGCTGTACCAAACGTCAGATTGTTGAACTTTTTACACAATTAACATTTTGATTACTAACTAGTTTTTTTTTAAAAGAAAATGGCCACTATGGTTGATTATATATTTCTGGCATGAAAAGCATATTTCCTATATAATGTTAACTTATTTAAAATAAATATGTCACATATTTTTCACTGCCCATTATTGCAAAACGAGTATCATCTGGCATGGTCAAGATTCCGTCACCACAAGTATCTAAGTATAGGCATGAACGGAAAATTCCTGTACCAAGTCATTTTTCACTCGTTCAATTGATTGACAGCGTTTGATTTTTTCAGTTTAAATGTACATCCCCTTTTAGAATTTGCCTTTGAGTTCGGTATTTATGTTATACATGTTTTATGGATATCGCGTACGACACCAGGTACCAAAGCTTTTTTTCGCTTCAAGAGTTTAAATGCTATCAACTTGCCTTAATTGTTACGTTGATGTTTACATTGACAAGGCAAGTGCGCCTTTAGTTTCTACCGATAACTTTCTATCTCAAGCGAGTAACAAACTTAAACTAAGTGCGCATGTGCCGCTGTAAATGTAAACATCAAAGACGTCATATGCAAAATAGCGATAAACAGATTATCAATGGTCTTTCAAACTCGAGGAAGTTTTTCTTCCATATCTCATCTCAGGACTGTCGCCCTTCGATGCGATTTTAGTTACACCCTCTCGTTTGAAAACCATCGATAATCTATAAACATCGAACTGATGCTGATAAATTTATGTTTTTAAATTTCAGCTCTACAGAACTTGGAAAATAGCGGCTAGATTTTGAACTGACATGACATGCAACGTGACCGTTTAACAGCATGAATATGATATTATTTACAAGTAGATTGAAATCAATTCAGCCGGGTTTGCGTTTTGTAATTTAGATTTAAATAGTTTGTCCTTTTTGTTACGTCTAACACGGAATCGTCGGATAACTGTATAATAAAACATAACATTAAATTTATTAAAATAAGTTTTTATTTGATTTTAATTGCTGCGATGAATCAAGACAGTTTACCGTTGCTACTGATTTGTTTTTGATGCTTTTTTTTGCACCAAGAAAGGGTAAAATGAAGAACAGACCGATTACCGTGCGTAACGTCTGAGCGCTCATAAACATGTCCACTACATTCTTTTTGTGTCTGTCTCAAGGCAGGGTTTGTAATTCAGTTATTTTCGTTGTCTGGTGAATGTCATTTTTCAATTGTTTTATTTTTTATAGTATTTATCAGGTCAGGTCGTTGGTTTTCTAGTTTGACTTGTGATTCGTAGATTTACACTTGCTTAATTAACGTCATCTCTGGTGGATAGTTATATCAATGGCAATAATACCACACCTCTTTTAATCTTATGGTAGTCATCAGACAGAGAGCTTTTCTATTGCAGAGTTGTACTTACATGCAGAATCAATATATATATATCCTGCGTAAAGGTATTCATCGTAAACAGTTACATTCTGATGGTCTAGAAAAGATAGAAAAAGTGTTTTACAATGCAAGCGACTCTTGTAGATAAAACATCGGTCAAATACAGCAACAAGAAAGTAGACTATCACTGTTATCATATTTTACCAAACAAGAAACAGACATGAAATTTGATAAGACGAAAGAAAGGTTCGAGAATATTTTTCATTGCCATTGTACTTAGGTAAAATATCCGTATCACGTTACGAAACATCTGTTTACGGACGTTTCTTAAACATTTTATATTTTCATTAAAAAAAACATTGCATTGTATTTGCCTATACATTTCATCCATTGTAAAAGAGGGGCGACAGATACCAGAGGGATATTCAAACTCATAAGTCGAAAATAAACTGTCAACGCCATGGCTAAAAATGAAAAAGACAAACAGACAACATCAAGAATTGTCATTGTAACACTAAGAAACTGATACGTTAACGTTAAAAAAATGATTAAAAAGAAAATATGATCTTTTGATTTATAATAAAGTTAGATTCTTTAGCTACCCCGTCGTGAATTAAGGGTCATACTGCCCTGCAAATATAGCATGTAGTTCTCTTTTTTTTACTGGTTTGCTGTCTCATAGTTAAGGTGCCATGTTTGATGTAAATATGAAGGACAATACAAGTATATTTCATATGTCACAGTGAACTGGACATACACCAAATTATCGTTATGGCAATTATCACACAGTGACCTTGGTTCCACTTTTATTAACTGCAAATAAATATTTATTTCAACATATACAAATCTTTCAACAAATTCGGAAAACAATTATATTCGTTCATAACCTAAATATAAAACCACAAACTAAATAGAGACAAGAACTGACGGACTAATGAATTCGACAAAGCACTTAAAAATAACGCCGTGAATAAATACTGCAAATAAGACAATTTATAGCTGTAGTTCAGTAACTTTGAACTTTACTAGAAAACTATGTAAAAAGTACGGAAAAGCAGTATTGTATCTTATTACAGATTTTTACGATAAATCGTTCAGGTGTGTAGTGACATGTATATGAAATTGTGCAGTGACGTGTATTGGAAATGTCGTCAGTCTCAGTCAAACGTCATAATGAGTATGATGAAACAGAAAATGGAATGAATGAAATAAATGAACTGATGAATGACAAATCAACATTTAATTATACACATAAATACGACGGTGACACATATATTAAACGATATGTGTAAATTGCCTGATCTTCATGTGTGCTTTTCAGAGTATTTTTATATTTGTATCACATATTGTAAACATTGTAACATTAAACATATGTGTAAAGTGTGCTTAAATCCTGACAATTGTTTCATTTATAAGTCAATTAAAGGCATGTTGTGCATACCCATGAAATACTACCTGAAATAGGTATATGGCAAATCTATTCATTACGTATAGAAGGAGATACATCGTTCAGACAGCAATCCAACGACAAAAAGAAACCACCCATACAACATATCTAAAGGGCAATTTAAAATAGACAGGTGTCTATACAATATGTCAAGCTCTAAATTGTTTCAAGTTTCAATTGATTAAACAGAGACAATAGAGATATGGTGACAACACCAAAATGTTCATAATAAAATAAAATTGATGTATATTTGCGCGATATCAAGAATGTTCGTCGTTCAAATATGATTGAATATAAATCATTTTTCAACAGAAAAAGTATTAAAAATGATAGCAAGGGACATTTGAATTCAAATAATTACATTACATTACATGCGCACATTTTTAGTATGTAGAACTTCAACGTTTCATACAAAATGTGATTCTGTCAACGTTTTTACATCCGTATGAAATTACAAATAAATAGGGAATGTGTCCATGGGACACATATGATGCCCCCGCTTGCATACAACGTTATATAGGAACATAACTCAAAAACGGTAAAAGTTATGCTACCCAAATTCGTACTTGATGTGAGTTATGTGGTAATAAGCATTGTTTATAAGTTGCATAATATTTGGTTGAGGCAAACTTAAGTTAGAGAACGGAAACAACAAAATTCAGCATTTTTTCCATCTGTAAAGGGGCATCACTATAGAACGGTAAAAGTGACATCACCAAAATTCAAACTTGATCTGTGTTTTGTAATAATAAGCATTGTGTATAAGATTCATAACATTCGGTTGAGGCAAACTTAAGTTAGAGAACGGAAATGAAAAATTTAGCAGTTTTTCCATTTGTAAAGGGGCATAACTCTAGAGAGGTAAAAGTGACGCCACCAAAATTCAAACTTGATCTGTGTTTTGTGTTAATGAGCTTTGTGTATAAGTTTCATAACATTTGGTTAAGGCAAACTAAAGTTACAGAACGGAAACCAATTTCGGGACGTATGGACGTACAGACGGACAAGGGTAAAACTTAATGCCCCCTGCGCTACGGTGGGGGCATAAAAATCATTTAATTCTTAAGTGCCAACGAAGGACAAGACAATAGGAAAAAAGAGGAAGGCTATATTTTCTTACCTACGATAGGGACATAAATATGTGGCAGGGTTAACTTTTAATTTATGCAAAAGAAGAAAATACAAAAACTTCTATTTCCAGCATAGACTAATTAATGAGGAATGAGAATATGTGTAGGAAGATCTTGTTGATATATTTTACTATATTTTACAGTGTATTCAAATTTTTAAAATGACATACTTTTTTATCAAACGGATGTGTTGGAATTGGCTAGATATATAAGATATTAGAAAAACAAATATAAATACATATTTGTTATAGTTACACTATCTGCTGAGTTATTGAACTTTCGATTTTCATTGAAATTATAGCGAAACATAATGATAATTTTTAGCTCACCTGGCCTAAAAAGCCAAGTGAGCTTTACTCATCACTTGGCGTCCGTCGTCCGTCGTCGTCCGTCGTGGTTGATAACTTTTTACATTTTAAACTTTTTATAGAGATCCACTGAATGGAATAAAACCAAACATTGCATGAATATTCCTTATGAGGTGCTGACCAAGTGTTGTTACTTTGTAGCTGATCCATCATCCAAGATGACCGCTAGCGGGGGACTTCCTTTAACATGAGATTCTATGGACAATACATACAAATGTCTTCTTTTAGAGAACCACTGCATGGAATGAAGCCAAACATAGCATGAATGTTCCTTACGAGGTGCTGACCAAATGTTGTTACTTTGTAGCAAAGCCATCAACCAAGATGGCTGCCAACGGGGGACTTTGTTTAACAGAGGACCCGGCCTATGTAAATATATACAAATAGATATAAGAAGATGTGGTATGAGTGCCATCCAAGTCACAATTAGTAAAAGTAAACCATTATAGGTCAAAGCACGGCCTTCAACACGGAGCCTTGGCTCACACCGAACAGCAAGCTATAAAGGGCCCCAAAAATGACTAGTGTAAAACCATTCAAACAGGAAAACCAACGGTCTAATCTATATAAAAAACGAGAAACGAGAAACACTTATAAACCACATCAACAAACGACAACCACTGAACATCAGGTTCCTGACTTAGGACAGGTGCAAACAAATGCAACGGGTTTAAACGCTTTAATAGGCGCCAACCTTCACCCTTACCTGAAACAATAGTGTAACATCACAACATAGAAAATATCAATTGAAATGGCTTAACTCAATCAAAAGACATATTAACAAAAGCAAGTGAACATACACTGAACGAATATATTTGATCTATAACACAATATAAATACAAAATTAATAAAAAAAAAGGGGGAGGGGTGAGATGTCAAACAATATCAGAAAGACAACCATAACCTTGGACAAAATGCCACCAAATAAAATAACGTACACAGGTAAATAAAAATAATTTTGTTGTAAGGTATACATGGAGTACGGAAATATTTTTTACAATGTCTTCTTTTAGAAAATCGCTTAATGGATTGAAACCAAACATGGTATGAATGTTTCTTTTAAGTTGTTGACCAAGTGTTGTTACTTTGTAGCTGATTTGTCACCAACGATGGCTGCCAGCAGGGGGAGTAAGTTTAACATAGGACCATAAGGGAAATACATACACATGTTTTCTTCTAGAGAACCACTGAATAGAATGAAACCAAACATGGCATGAATGTTCCTAATGAGGTGCAAGTGATGTTACTTTGTAGCCGAACCATCATTCAAGATGGCCGCCAGCAGGGGACTAAGTTTAACATAAGACCCTATGGAAAATACATACAAATGCTTCTTCTAGAGGAGCACTGAATGGAATGAATCCAAACATGGCCTCAATCATTATTACGGTATCTGTTATGATTTTAATCATTTTTTACATGATTTCCAAAACCAAAGTAGAATCAGGTGAGCGACATAGGCTCTTGAAAGCCTCTTGTTATGAGTTTTTATCACAATTTGTGTCTAAATTATAAGCAATGTACTTTCTGTTTTAGATATTAACACTGAGCATAAAGATTTTTAAATCAATTGTGACAATCTTGACTTATTGTACGAAATCGAAGTGTTGACGGACAGACAAACAGTGTGATTACTAAAAGGCACCCGCAAAGTATTCAATTGTGCCTTTAAATTCTTTGTTGTATTGAAAGGTCTTAACTTTGCGATTAAGAATGTTTAAACCATTGTCGTGACGTCAGCCTATTTATTTACCGTGGATTCTGTTATATAGATACAATGGATAAGCGTGGATTCTTGAAAAAGAAACCATGAGCCCGGAGGGCGAATGTTTTGTTTTTCATGAATCTACGCTTATCCATTGTATCTATAACTTAAACTATTGTGTTAATTTCTTTTCAAAATTAAAGCCTTTTCCTAATTAGAAGGTATTGTAAGTGAGTTTAAATAACCATGTTATCGTGTCCAACGATGCATTGATAAATCTCAGATCACAATTAATTGGTTAACAAAATACAAGTATAAAACTTCTACCTTTAAAGATCTTTATATTACCAGGCATATGAATATTATCTGTTTATACAAAAAAAGACATATTCGAAATTATTTCTAATTAATTGAAAATGGAAATGGGGACGTGTCAAAGAGACAACA